GAACCCGGGCCGCCTGGGTGAAAACCAGGAATCCTAACCGCTAGACCATATGGGACTTACACAAGGAAAACAGACCCCCCACTGATAGAAATGGGCTTTGTAAATCGCTGCATAAATGATGTAGATTTACATTTTAAAACCCCAGCTGTGATAGAATTATGGGACTGCCCATGCTCTTTAAAATAAAATAAAATAAATCTTGCTCATATTTTATTGGGGACGCCCCTTGAGTGAGGTGAGTTAAATATTATTTACTGACTTTACTGCAATAACGACAGTATCAATATTACGATTGGTTGTGTATTATCCAAGTCAGTGTATGTTCTGTTTTAATGAATAGCCTATTCTGATTTTCCTTTGCGATTAACCTGATTTGCATGATAGGGATTTATTGTTAAAATAGTAGTTCAAGAGACACAACTGGATCCTTTATATTAAACTCCAGCTCCGGTTTCTGTGCAGAGTTTTCATTATCAGTCTAAATGATAAAGATTATCCGGTATTTTCTGTTTACAACTTAGAAAACATTTTTCATCCTTGAAAATCCGTGTTCTTCTTTCATTGCACATCTTATCCCAGTCACCTCCCCTATCAGGAATGATCGCATTTTGTAAAGGTTTATTTCATAAATTCATATTTCATGGTAGACAGTTCAACTTCTCGTCGTTGCTAACAAAGTGAAAAATAATCACACTAATAAATGACTTTAACTTAAAAACGTATCCAGTTTCCTGCTGGAAGCGGCTCCACACAGGCGGAACCTTCGTTTTCCGATTTGTTGACAACCGGCGCGTTTTAGGTGTTACATCTCAGACGCTTCCCCTGAAACAAGCGAACTCATTGAAGGGTTTGTGAGTGGAGGTAAAAGAGTCTAACAAGTGTATTTAATGAGCAGTACGTCGCGGGTTTGTTGATATCCGTTGTGTTGTTTGTTGTCTTAATGTCTGAATGTGGATGTTGTTTGTTTCCGGTCGTTGTGTCACTGATCGCCCGCGTCACTTAGCTAGCATGCTCGCTCGGTATCGCAGCTAACACTAGCTAGCTAATCACCCGGTGTAACGGCGAACACCGTCCTTACTTGTGCTACCTGCTTCAACCTCGTCGTCCAGGAGTCGTTCCTAAACCAGTCCTTTGTTTTTGCAGGTCCTGTGCTCAACGTTAAAAGATGTTTCTGACCAGATCGGAGTATGACAGGTGGGCGAACACAAAGTGCTTTGTCATTTGTTGAGCGCTTCTCAGTGGGGATGAACTCAAAGAGACACAGTTGTGTTCAGAAGTTGTCTGTGCAGGCCGGTTTTGATTGTGACTGCTTAACTAACTCTAGAAATACATCTGTTTCCAACCTTTGTTGTAACTTAGTAGCTGTTTGTTGCAGGTAGTTAGATAGCAGCGAGTCACTCCAACAAGTTATTGTGCTTTCACTTTCGATCTCTCTTTTTTTTTTTTTTTAAGAAACCTTTATCTAACCAGGAAACCCTTATTGAGATTAAAACGTATTAGAGGCAGGTGCTCTTTTTAAGTGGTGACTCTAAACACAACGCACACTGAATGAGAACTACATTTATATGTTGGCTGCACAAATAGTTTTCCATCAGCGTTGAATTGATGACCATTATTAATATTTATCCTTATTCACATCTGCCTTCTAGAGGTGTGAACACATTCTCTCCTGAGGGAAGATTGTTCCAGGTTGAATATGCCATAGAGGCTATAAAGGTGAGTGTTATGTGCTGAATCACTTCAGTTTACGAACTAACTCTTCTGTGGGATATTGTGTACTATCCTTGAAAATGAAGCTCATGAGTTTTCTTTGGTCTTGCTTTCCCAGTTGGGCTCCACAGCCATCGGTATCCAGACATCCGAGGGGGTGTGTCTGGCTGTAGAGAAGAGGATCACCTCTCCACTGATGGAGCCCAACAGCATTGAAAAGATTGTGGAAATTGACACTCACATCGGTAAGAGGAAAGACAAACTTAATGTCGGCTACACAGATAACTGAATCTCAAATTTGGATGCTGACTGGAGACAATTTGGGTATAAACTGTAAGTTAACTTGAGAATGTAATTAGCTGGTTTCTGTAACCATAAAGTAGATATAAAAAGTTGGATAAACAATCTGTTTTTCAATTACACTGTATTTATTTTGCATGGTTTGTATATTGAAAATACAAACATGTTACATGGAGTCAGGGGAAAACTAGGGGAAACTTAAATGGTCCCTTTCATGTGATGTGTTTGATCAGGGGCAATGATTGCACCCTCATATATTGCAGAAGTGGATGGGCAATCGGAGAGGCTGCAGCATATGCAGGACCTGCAGTTTCTAAATTTTCTTTCTTCCTACTTCAAAGGTTGTGCCATGAGTGGC